CAGGGTTACTGTCGGTCATGGCTGCAGCATCCACATCAACTCCGTTTTCAAGTTGAAAGCTAAGCATAAAATCACCTTAATTATGAAGTCGTTCAGGAGAACACTTTCCTCTTTTCCTTTCGATGAAGCTTGCAGGTGAAAGCTGCAATGTTTGGAGTGTTTGGAATGGAATGTTTGCTTGTCAGATAACAGCAGTGGTCGGCCTTCTAACCACCAAAACAAAACGCGACTCTGATTGGAGGGACAACATTGCATTTGTTGGGACTTCTATGCTTATGGCGATGTGAGTTGGCTTTTGACTTATGGTAAATGGGTCATGTCAGTGAGCTTCGCGTCATTGGGGCTGATTGGTGCAAGTCCTCAGCAAATTGATGACTCCGTTAATTAGTTACTGTCAAGTAGACTGTTTGATGCAAGGACGGTTAGCGTAGCTACCAAAGAAGTTGTACCCAAAAGGAGTGTCGACTGTTGCGCATCCTGCTCTCGAATAGATGAGCTCTCAAGAGCATACAGGAGGCTTCATGCTAGTTTTCTTTCTGATGAGGAGGCTCACTCTCGCAGAAATCTGCACAGGATTACACCGAGTTCAAACCATCGCTGAGCACTGTTCGCTTTCAATGTCATGTTCTTTCCACTTGTTTACAACTTTGGCCCCGCACATTCTTGGACACGGGCGATTGCGGAGAACCACTCACACCTCCCACAAAAGAGTGGTGGCCCTTCTTGCATCATCGCTGCCTCCCTCCACTTGCTACCATGTCGATTGTTATGCGAGCTCCCAGCCAGGGCTCAAACCCCTATCACTTGCCCCACCTTGCGGCCGACGATAAGAGTGGGCCAGTGGTTCAGAAGGCTTCAGATGCTGTTGCAGCTTATCACCTCCCACGCGCCAAGAACGTCTCTACCTCCACCGCTGAAAGCACTCAGAGCACATCATCTGCTGGAACTGGAGAAAAGGTGCGTTGCTCCCGTGGAATATTGAATTGAGGCCAACCTGTTATAGAAGGTGAAAGGGAAGAAAGCGGACAAGCCACCCCGTAAATCGTCCATTCTCCAGAAGTAAATCTTTGCCCCATAAACATTCCCCTGCTCACGGATAGTCCCAGAGCGAAACAGTTCTTCCGCCCCGATAGTGAGTTTAAGAAAAACGGAAACGGGACCAATAATGCTTAATGAATTTTAATGAACTGTCATCGGATTTGTATTCTGTCTCACTGCCGTGTTCATATCCGGAGGAATTTCTTGGATTACTTTTGTGCTTGCAACTTCGTTTGATTGAATAGTACAACGGATACCATTTTTATTGGAACAGTCATAGGAGTAAGACAATACAGACAGAAACACGGGGAGAAGTTTAGTTTTCAGATGAGATGAAATGACATGACAACAAATTGGCTGTGAACTAAAAATGAGGTTGCAGCGACAAAACTAATGCGATGGAAAGTTAGACAAAGAAAATCGAAATGGGATGAAACCTCTCTCGGTGCTCGTACAACATAGTGCAAGATGCCTGAAGAAGTTGTTAATATCGTAACATTCGGCCAACTGGGGGTTCTGATGTAGCTCGGATAGACGGTTTTTTGAAGCCGGGAAGGGACGTAAATGGCATGATAGGCACTCTATGAGGCATGCGTGCAACGTGAGGGGGAGATGGCAATCTTGCAGCTTGTACCGGCAGGTGAGGCATCCTTTTGAGATTGGACGGTCGGCGTCTTCTTCGAAGCAGTGATCTTAGGAGCACGAAAACGAGGACGAAAAAGCAGATGAACGAAAGCGTCATCAACGTCAACTGCAAAATTGTTCAGGTACAACAGCCTTACTAGCAGAAAATACTTACGTGAATGGACATTTGCGCTTCTTGGATGTAGGTTGTCGAGACATGCCAATAACCTCGCAGTCGGAGGCTCCAGGACTGCATATACCCCGATAAGAGAACAACAATAACCAGGAGCAGCGCAATTGAAGGTTGGCACTTCAATACACCTATCACAGGTGTCAGTCGAAGCATCCAAAGAGGAGAATCCTGCAAACCAGGAAGAGCAGCGACCAGTAGCCAGAACCACCCTGTAGTTCCTCCATTTGGCTGAAAAAGGAATCGACTTCTGTTCAATTCGACGGCTTCTGCCAGACCTTCAAGGTTGGAAGTTAGATCAGTAATCCGAGCGAGACCTTCTTCTAGTGCTCGATGAGAGATATTCTGTAGATGTAGATTAAGCTCGAAAGATCGCTGTAGATCGAGCGAGAGGTTTTGCAGCACCCTTCCGGTCTTTAAAAAAATGAGCTGCGACGTAGAACAACGTAGAAGAAGAGCTTACATTTATCACGGAGTGCATCAGATCTTTGAAGACGGAGAGCGATGTATCAGCATCTTCCTGTGAAAATTTAGCCGAATATTGAACATTCAAGGACCTACCACTTGCAAAGATAAACTGTGAAGCATCTCTTCTACTCTGCTCACTTCTTTCATAAGGCCAGCGGAGACGTCTCCCAGTCCTCTGTTGTGATCATAAAGAATCTTCTCCAACTCCATTTTGGTCTAAGATCGCGATGATTCAACACTTTATCAAGGAAATATTGTGGACGGACCAGTTGCACGCTGTCTTGCATCACGTCCCATCCGCCTTGGAACTTCTCTAGAAGCTCCAGCGAATGAAAAGAGATATTCTTGTAGATATCTCGCGCCGAATCCAAGTCGTGCATCCTCGAATGAGCAAAGCAGAATTGTACTGGCGCAACACCGATCAGCCCTAGCATATCTCAGCTCAAGAGAACGTGCCTATCTCTCTCAGGTACCCTGAATATGAGCTCCAGTGTTGAGGACTTCTGCTCAGTGCTCTTCCCGCATCTCGTCAAACATGCCTGTACCAAATACGCTTATTGAACGAAGGAACTCACTCAACACAACCTACAACCTCTCGACTCCCTTTTCCTCCCCTCCCACATTCACGAGGAACGCTCAACTGGACGTTCTCCAAATCACACACCGTCATCTGGCTCGCGATTGCCATCCTCTCCAAATCCGAAAGCGCGTCACAGGCTGGGGAAACAGGAAAATGACGCGTGAAACAGGACGACAATTCAGTGGCGCGGTCTACATCCTTACTTCAGTCTTCTTAGCGGACAGTGAAGACTGCAAGCCTACCGTTTGGCTGTCCTATCAATTCTTGGGAATCGCGAAAAGCGCGACTGTTTTGAGGGTTGGAGAACCATGACGCGAAGGTCCGAGGTAGAATAAACAGGTAAAGATAAAGATACATCATACTCACTGAAGCTTGAGCCGCTTGCGCATTCGTCGTCGTAATCGTTCCAAGTGTTGTTGAAGCTGAAGGAGGTGGCAAATATTTTCGCGTTCAGTTGTAGTACGTAAAGTTTTCAGTTTGAAATTATCAATTTCAACGCGCTGTTCGCATGCATGCTTGTGCCAATGACAATCATATTCGCTGAAACATGCATTAGACGTGGTTAGACACGCTCTATAAACTAGCAGAATAACCAGCAAACTATACTGTTCCCAAACCTCTGATTCGGAGAAACCGTGAAACGTTATCCAGTACGTCTTCTGCTGGGGTATCTTCGTCGACTGGAGGTGGTCGCTGCCTGTCTGGCATCGAGGGTTGGCCAGGATGTATGGAGTCGCCTCTCGGCTTGTAGATGAGAACGAGGATTGCACCAAAAATGAGGAGACAGAGTAGGAAAATGAGCGACCTCTTTCCAGACTTTTTCTGGTGTCTAAATCGTTCGTCAGCCAGGACCTTGCAAGAATCAAGAAGAGGTACTTCGTGGCTTGCTTCAGTTCCTGTACCGCACTCTCGACGTTTGTCGCCAGTTGCTCGACATTGTAGTCTATACGATCGAGAAGGGAGCCTTGGTCAATGACCATATTTGAGAGGTCTTTAAATATGTCTGCTAGCTCCGCTATCGACTTCGATATAAGAGTGATTTCTCGATCTCTCTCGTTGATTAGACGCATGTCAACGTCATCTGTGAGGAGTGAAGACTGCGCCAGTGAAGTGCGCGAGAGTTCGACATCGTCTTCTAACTCTTTAGCAGACGATTGTAGAGGTATTGAGGACGTCGAAGTGAGTAAGTCAGAAGTACGGGTTTCGTGTCCTTTCAGTTCTTGTTCTGCTCGTCAGCCTTACACTTCTTGGTGAGAAGAGGATGCGCACGGCGTAGGTAAACACCCTGCTTCTTACGAAATCCGCTGCTGAGCTCTTGTAGCTTATTCGCAAGCCCAGTTTGCAGATTAACAGCCATTTGGTCAGGCTTGTTGGGCTGTGAAGAGCTGGTGGGCCGCGAGTGTGAGCGAGCAAGGTCTCCTATCTTCTGTAGCATAGAATGGGCCCGACGGAATTCCTGATATTGTACTTCCTTAGCATTGATGCACAAAGGGAAGAGTAACGAACGGATGTTATTTCTCGAGTGAGAGTGTCGATTTCTCGTTCTTCAGCTGAACGGTCCGTGAAACCAGGCAGAACATGTTTAGCATATAACTTGTCGAGGTACGTGACTACGTTTCATTTCAATACTACCCAGTCGTCGTGAAAGAAGAAAACGCACTCTTGCCTCTCGCGCTCTCGATGAGCGCCTCTGCTTGGTCTGCCACGTCCACCCACACTGGCGGCAGACCTTGTTCCAGTTCGTCGAGCTCCAAGTCATCATCTGCACTACCAATAAGCCTCTCCTCCTCTCCTCCGTCCTTATATACCCCATAATCAGGCGCCCGTCCTTTCCCCTTCCCTTTTACATTCCGGTGTCGATAATTCGGTGATGATTCGCGGTAGGATAGGAAAAGAAGAGTGCGGGACCGCGTAACACCTATTGTCTGAGAGAGACTGGGGGAGGAACTAAAGCCGGAGGGGATTCTCGGGGATTCCATGCTTGAACCGCTCAAAACGTGAAGATGCAGAAAAGAAGTTCATTCGTCATTTCGGCTTCTTTTCAACAAAAAATCGGGCCATAAAGTATGTGTATTGCAAAACATTTCTAAAGACTTAAAAGGCAAGATGGCCGAGTGGTCTAAGGCGTCAGTTTTAGGCACTGATCTTCGGGCGTGGGTTCAAATCCCACTCTTGTCATGTTTTTGAATATTTTTGTGTAGGAACGCTACGTTCCTCTTGTACTTCTTCCTTTTCTGAAGCAGTTCTGCAAGCTCTCCTTCCAAGTGTGGCCACGCTCAAGAAATTTGATGTATACATGTCCTCATGTCCTTGATGTGTAAAACCAGGTCACCCCAGGACCGGGTAATGAACATCCCCGGCAGGAGCCAGAAGTTTTGGGAGAATTTCGAGAACCACCAACTTGGGTTTTGCTGAAAAGCACCTGTAGAGAGAGCACAAACCCTAGAGCTGAAGAGATGAAGAACAGTACAGGGACAGATGTTGTCCCCCTCAGTGCGCTCGACTTGTTTTTTATTAATGTTGGGAACCAAGTGGGGAGCCCAGTGAGTCGTCATTCGTCAAAGATTGGGCAGTGTGAACGTGTCTTCTACAGCCAGACCCGTTGAAAGTTATTGTTATCCTATTCGCATCTATTCCCCTTGCTTTGCTATATCCGAAATATGTCTGCTAGCTCCGCTATCGATTTCGAAATAAGAGTGATTTCTCGATCTCTCTCGTTGATTAGACGCATGTCAACATCATCTGTGAGGAGTGAAGACTGCGCCAGTGAAGTGCGAGAGAGCTCGACGTCGTCTTCTAGCTCTTTAGCAGACGATTGTAAAGGTATTGAGGACGTCGAAGTGAGTAAGTCAGAAGTACGGGTTTCGTGACCTTTCAGTTCTTGTTCCGCCCCGCAACCTTAAAACTCCTGCGGGAGAAGAAGATGCGCACGGCGGAGGTAAACACCCTGCTTCTTACGAAATCCGCTACTGAGCTCTTGTAGCTTATTCGCAAGCCCAGTTTGCAGATTAACAGCCATTTGGTCAGGCTTGTTGGGCTGTGAAGAGCTGGTGGGCCGCGAGTGTGAGCGAGCAAGGTCTCCTATCTTCTGTAGCATAGAATGGGCCCGACGGAATTCCTGAGATTGCACTTCCTTAGCAATGATGCACAAAGGGAAGAGTAACGAACGGAGGTAATTTCTCGAGTGAGAGTGTCGATTTCTCGTTCTTCAGCTGAACGGTCCGTGAAACCAGGAAGAACATGTTTAGCATATAACTTGTCGAGGTACGTGACTACGTTTCATTTCAATACTACCCAGTCGTCGCGAAAGAAGAAAACGCACTCTTGCCTCTCGCGCTCTCGATGAGCGCCTCTGCTTGGTCTGCCACGTCCACCCACACTGGCGGCAGACCTTGTTCCAGTTCGTCGAGCTCCAAGTCATCATCTGCACTACCAATAAGCCTCTCCTCTTCTCCTCCGTCCTTATATACCCCATAATCAGGCGCCCGTCCTTTCCCCTTCCCTTTTACATTCCGGTGTCGATAATTCGGTGATGATTCGCGGTAGGATAAGAAAAGAAGAGTGCGGGACCGCGTAACACCTATTGTCTGGGAGAGACTGGGGGAGGAACTAAAGCCGGAGGGGATTCTCGGGGATTCCATACTTGAACCGCTCAAAACGTGAAGATGCAGAAAAGAAGTTCATTCGTCATTTCGGCTTCTTCAACACAACGTCTCAACCGGGCCATAAAGTATGTGTATTGCAAAACATCCTAAAAGACTCAAAAGGCAAGATGGCCGAGTGGTCTAAGGCGTCAGTTTTAGGCACTGATCTTCGGGCGTGGGTTCAAATCCCACTCTTGTCATGTTTTTGAATATTTTTGTGTAGGAACCCCACTTTCCTCTTATTCTTCTAGCTTTTCTGCAGCAGTTCTCCACTCCAAGCTCTCCTAGGTGCAATGTTGCCCAAGTGACCACGCTCAAGAATTTGATGTCTACACATCCTTGATGTGAACAACCAGGGCAACCCAGGACCGGGTAATGAACATCCCCGGCAGGAGCCAGAAGTTTTGGGGAGAATTTGGACACCAACTTGGGTTTTGCTGAAAAGCACTCGTAGAGAGAGCACATATCATAGAGCTGAAGAGATGAAGAACAGTACAGGGACAGATGTTGTCCCCCTCAGCGCGCTCGACTTGTTTTTTATTAATGTTGGGAACCAAGTAGGGAGCCCGGTGAGTCGTCATTCGTCGAAGATTGGGCAGTGTGAACGTGTCTTCTACAGCCAGACCCGTTGAAAGTTATTGTTATCCTATTCGCATCTATTCCCCTTGCTCTGCTATATCCGCTACTTCCGCCAGCTCCATCACTCCTCACCCCCGCGTACTCTCTTGCCGTCTCGTACATCTTCCTGACCCAAGTTTTGCACCTACACAACGGCTTCTTTCAACTCCTTGGGAGTTCTATCGCAACCTATTACCTTGTCGCATGGAGAGTATCTCAGGCGAAGAAAGCTGGCAGAAAGGTCAGCAAGAGTATGGGATGGGAAGTTTTCGCCTTGACCATGGGGCACCTACTTTTCAAGTACGTCTGACACTGCACCATCTTTGTTATGCCGCTTATGAGATGCTCTCAGCCACCTCTATCGATCGTTTAACGAAATATCTTTAGACATCATTGAGATTACGGGTTCTCAAATGGTGCTAGTAATGAAGTTGAGCAGCTTCGCGTGGCAAGTTTACGACGGTCAGCGTCCAAAGGAGGAGCTGGATAAATTTCAGTCAATGAACCGAATCGAGGAACTGCCAACGCTTCTTGACTTCCTGAGCTATTGGTAGGTTGCGACTGTACCTGTCAACGTGTTCCTTCTAACCAATCCGATACAGCTTCTTTTTCCCTTCCATCATGGCTGGACCGTCGTTCACATATGCATCGTATCGGTCCTTTATCAATCGGACGCTTTTTGGTGCTTCGAAAGACAACCCGTCTCAGTTCACCCTTCCTCCAGGACGATGGTATCGCGCCGGAAAGCGCTTCGCTTGTGGTGTCTTTTACCTCGCAATCTTTGCCACTCAAGCTGGAAGTTGGAGCTTCAGCAACCTGGTCGACCCAAGGCTTGGCTGGTTGGATAAACCGCTGTGGAAGAGAATCTTTGCCATGCAAATGGGAGGATTCATGGCTCGGACAAAATACTATGCTGTCTGGTGTCTGGCGTAAGTGCACTTCATCGTCCCATCGAACATCGAACTGAGTCTACTGTTGCCAGTGAGACTGCGTATATTTTGTCTGGTCTTGGATGGGACCCTATTTCGCGAAAATATATCAACTCTCGCAATCTCAAGATTCGTCAAATTGAATGCGCTCAGAGTTTCAAGGAGCTTCTCGATCATTGGAACATGAACACGAATGTTTGGCTGCGAGAATGTGTCTACAAGCGCGTCGCTCGAGAAGGGAAGAAGCCTGGATTCAAGAGCACAATGGCCACGTTTGGAACAAGTGCATTGTAGGCTTTTTTCTTTAAATAGCTTCTGTCGTTAACACCCAGAGTTAGCTGGCATGGTACTAATCCCTGCTATTACCTTACGTTCTTTCTCGGTGGATTCGCCCAGAACTTGGGAAAACTGCTCCGAAAGAACATCCGGCCTTTCTTCCTTCCACCCGGATACCTCTTAATCAAACCTGGCCAACCAACGCCTCCCACAGGAGCGCTCAAGGCATTCTACGACATCGTCGGCATAATTTCTGTTCAGCTCGTCCTCAACTTCGCCGTCGTTCCTTTCATGCTTCAAGACTTCCGTCAAAGCTTCACAGCCTGGAACAACGTCAACTGGTATGGACTCATCCTCGTTTTCGGAATATCCGGTTTCTTCTGGTGCGGAGGAGGAGGAGTGTTTAAGCAAGCTCTGAAGAAGAGAGAGGCGAAGGCTCTCGCTCAGCAAGAGACCATCAAGAAGAAAGAGGCAGAGAAGCTCGCTAAGGAAGGAGTCAAGGCTTACAGGGAAGAGACGGAGACTGCTCATGTGGACAAACCTAATGCTGTAGGTATACCCCCCGCGTAAAGGAGTTTGCTCTTAGTGCATTGAGTTGGGAGTTTGGTTGCTTTTGGAGTAAAGTTGGTGATATAAAGTCTATAAACCGCTTTATAGAATTGGTTAATCATGACGATATATTCCAGTTTTGTGATATAATCGATTCTTAATCAGTCATTGATCAGCAACGCAGACCAGACCTGATGCTTTTGTATGATCCCAAACACAGTTTAAGGGGTTCCACCGAGGCGAACCTCATGCTACACCAAAATGATGACCGTCAAAATTGATATGTCTGATCCAGGACGAAGACATTCACACTGGCATTAGGAGCCAGGAAGCTTCAAATTTAGACTCTCCCCATCATATGCGCAAAATTCGACCACGAGAAAGCGCTCGCACATGTCGCCCCAGTCGATTACGAACTTCAATATTCTCTGGGGATTCACCAGATTATCTCACGATCCAGGGGTGGGAGCAACACGGCTCTTTTGCTTCTTCGAGCGATAATCTAATAAACTTATCCTATCCACCTTCCTATTCTATTGCGCGAAGTGGATTACTAGGCTCCATCGTGAGATTAACTGGGTTTGTTGATGGAGGGTAGCTTACAGCAGAAAGTAGTAGAACATTCAAACGAAACTAGACTGCAGAGCTCAACAAATACAATCGACAATAACTTATAAGTACTTGTCTGGTTCGTTCAAAGTTAGAGAACCTGATGAGTCTTACTAACAGTGAAATAACGATCACGGAACCAACTCTGCTGAATGAATGACTGAAACAAGGGCTCCATGTCGCCCTTCATCGCTTCATCATCCATCACAGCTGTCACCTCGGTAGCAATTGCTAACACGCTCAGCTTGATCATCCCCAGGAACTAGACTATTTGTCAAAATGGCTGTGATAACAGACATGCCTCCTGAAATTCTCAGCATCATCATGACTTCTGCCTGTTCTGGGGACCGATTTGATCGACGAGACCGTGCTAACGCATTGAAATCTTATTCTCTTGTATCAAAAGAATGGTCCGGTTGCGCTCAGCGCCTGCTGCTACGTGATATCGTGGTCTGTATCTATATCCTTCGACGATCATATTCCTGATTTTGCGAGAACGACGCAGGTGTCAAGTTTTAAGACGGCCGACACAGTACGAACGATGAGTCGACAG